TTTCGGGAAGGAGGCGGCTCCGTGGGCTCTGGAGTTTCGGGAAGGAGGCGGCTCCGTGGGCCATCGCGGCTCTCCGGTCGCAGGGAGCGGCTCCATCGACGCCGAGGAGCTGCGGGCGGTGCTCCGGGGCTGTCTCCAGGAGAATTCCCTGGCCCTTCCCGAGGAGCGCCTGGGCGCCCTGAGCCAGGCCCTGCTCCAGGCCCTGGACCGGGATCGCAGCGGCTCCGTCACCTTCCCGGAGCTCCGGGAGCAGCTGGAAGCGTTCCCCGAGCTCCTGGAGAGCCTGAGCAGCAGGTGGGGACGGGAGCTCCGGCATTTCTGGGAGACAATTCCATGGGGAGCCCACAGCGGGCTTGGGAGCAGCTGGAGGGGTTTGGGATTGGGTTGGGAAGAGTGCGGGGTTTGGATCAGGGAGGGTTTGGGATGGGGCAGGGATGGATTTTGGGATGGATTTTGGGATGGATTTTGGGATGGATTTTGGGATGGATTTTGGGATGGATTTTGGGATGGATTTTGGGATGGATGCAGGGATGCTGCCACTCCGGCTGTAGGGCTGGGTACCACCCTGGGCTGGGGACTTCTCCAGCTCCCTGTTCTCATCCAAACCCCCCCCACAAATTCCCATCCGAACCCCCCAAATTCCCACCCAACCCCTCCCAGATTCTCATCTGAACGTCCCCAAATTCCCCATTCAATTCCCCCCAATTCCCCATCTGAATCCCCCCAATTCCCCATTCAATTCCCCCCAAATTCCCCATTCAATTCCCTCCAAATTCCCCATTCAATTCCCTCCAAATTCCCCATTCAATTCCCTCCAAATTCCCCATCCAAACCCCTCCAAATTTCCCATCCAACCCCCCCAGATTCCCATCTAAACCCACCCAAATTCCCCATCCAAACCCCATTCCCATTTTCCCAGTGCCACCAGCTGGCTGAAGCCCCCCAGTCCCAGTCCTGCTGAGCCCTGGCTGTGCTGCTTTTCCCGGGAATGCCGCGGGGATCACCGGGCCGGGATCTGCTGCTTTTCCCGGGAATGCCGCGGGGATCACCGGGCCGGGCTCCGGTGCCTTTCCCGGGAATGCCGCGGGGATCACCGGGCCGGGATCTGCTGCTTTTCCCGGGAATGCCGCGGGGATCACCGGGCCGGGATCTGCTGCTTTTCCCGGGAATCCCGCGGGGATCACCGGGCCGGGCTCCGGTGCCTTTCCCGGGAATGCCCCGGGGATCACCGGGCCGGGCTCCGGTGCCTGGCGCTCTGGGCCGCCAGCACGGCGCTCCTGCTCGCCCTGGGCGCTCTGCGGCACCGGGAGCGCGGCCCCGCCCTGGCGCTGGCCCGGGGCTGCGGGCAGAGCCTCAACCTCAACTGCGCCCTGCTGGCCGTGAGTGCCCCGGACACCGGGACAGCGGGACAGCGGGACAGCGGGACAGCGGGACACCGGGGA